CTATATAGAGGTTTCCTTTTTTTAAATTTTATTTTATATACAGCTGAGCTCCATAAGTTTTAACTGTTCCATGTAGGTTTTAGCCGAGGGCACTCCATGTCTGTCAGTTACTGCTGTTATTACAAGCTTTTTGCAGGGTCATTATTTGGTGGATTGGATTGAATGCACACAAGTAGCCTGTAATTATTGTGATGTTATCTTTAATTACTAGGATTTACATAGTATTTTTTCTGGTGGACAAATGTCAGGAAACTTTTACTTTTAGAATATGTTTAATTCGGAATTATAAGATAATTGGATGGAACCTTGTGGCGGAAACTATTTGACAGACATTAGATTCAATGGTGGCACTGATAAAAACTTACAATGTACCAATGTTCTATGATACAAAAATTATCTGTCAGTGTTTTATAAGCACTTTAGAACCATTCTTTGAGTCTTAAGGAAAACCAATAGCAACTCCTCTTGGCTGTTGTGACTACTCATTCTATGCATGATTGGGTATAGCATCGGCATGATTTTGAAAACAGGAGAGCAAATATTGGAATGCAAATATTGTTGAAGTTGAACTTTTACTTATTGAGTACAGAAGACATACACAACTGTCCTTGCGTGTGCCTCATTTAACATTAAGTTGTTGCCATAAAAATATTGCATTCTGTTGGCATGAGTTACTGAAATATGCAATCGTGGAGGAGATGAAGAAAGGCTTGAATTACCATTATCAAATGCTTGATCTTTAGGAATGTCTGTATCTATATTTCATGAGGTTGAAAAACTAACTAAAAGTCTAAAAGTATGTCTACTCGACAAAAATGTGTAAACATAAATTGCTACATCATCACGAGGAGGTGTGTGAATACATAAAGCTTCGTCTTTTGTCATGGAGATATGATTGAATCTGATAAGAGTCGACCGTTTACAGTGAAAATATCTTACCAGTTTCCAGTGTTATCGACCAGCCAGTCAAATTTTGCACTTAAAATGTAAGTCCTAGTCTGTATGCTATATTCACTTGATTTAATTGGTAGACAATTAACAAAGTATTAGCTAATTCATTCGAGTTTTATAGCGAGCGATAATGTGTTTATTTAACAATTATTTGTTTATGCTTTCTGCTTTTGTTATATCAATCTACATATTCTAACAGCATTCTCATTCCCAAGCAGGAAAGGGCAAGATCAATCCTCATTGGATTTTGTAGCGTGAGTTCGACTTTGCCTTATATTTCCAAGTACTTCGGGTGAACAATGGGAGTTCAATAGCCATCATCGCTCTTGCAGTTACAGGAAGAATAATACTGATGACTCGTAGTACAAGAAATTCTGACCACTGGATTCTCGGATGTTGTATTAAATGTTCCAGAGAGCAACTAGTTGGTTGCTGATTATGGAGAGTAACCTTTTGTTTACATAGGATTGATAGCGAAGATTGGTTGGTTTTTTTGGATTTGTAAGTTAAAAGCTTTCCAAGTACATTTATAGCCCTAATTATTATGTAAACTAAATAAGCATATATAGTTAACTACAAGTAGAAAGGAAAATTAAACACGTCTACGCGTCTGCTACCCATACATCTGTCCAACATTTGTCGCGGAATTCTCCCTATACACCAAAGCATTTGTATTATTCTTACAAACAGTGTCCACCAAAACGTAGCTGCCTGTATATTCTCTCTGGATGCGGAGAGATACAAGAGGAAAAGATATTTGAACAAGATCTAAGAAAAAAACCTTCGGCTATCTCCAACATCTCAATCCTGACTCCCATATGTCTTGCTCGGCCATGCATCCCCTAGCTTGCGGTTATGCATTCCCTAGCTTGCAGTTTCTTCTGCCATTAACAGAGTGTGGATTTTATGTTTCTGTCGATTTGGTCGGTCGACCGCGACAATTTCGCGCCGGTTGGGTTATGGCTTGGGTTATGTTTTCTGACCCGTTTTCGTTGTTGTGTTGATATATAACCTTAAACATGATTATTAGGGTTAATCGGGACAAGATTTTGAGCAGCTTTTGAGAGAGGTTTGTGCATCCTTTGAGGGAGAATTGGTAAGAGATTTTGAGAGCTTTGTTTGAGGGTTTTTGTTGAGATTGTAAATCCTATTTGTATTCTCTTTATCTCTAATAGTAAAAATTCTCCCCTCTTTGCCCCGTGGACGTAGGCAACTTATCAAACCACATAAAATTCGTTTGTCTTGCTGTGGTGATTGTGTTTTACTTATTAGTTGTGATCTATCCCGTTCTTGTTCGTGCTCTTTCGCGTGTTTCGAGTTCCGCTGCGCACAACAAAAACATAAACATGGTGGTTACTAAAATGAAAGAAAATGCAAGTATATAATAGTATAGATAGGAGGAAGAAATTTCTATTCAAACATTTAAATTGAACTTAATTAGATGGTGTACATAATAGAGGGCTGGTCAGTTAAGATTTAATGTATTAAAAAAGGGAGTTGTTTCATTTTGTGGGTCCTATTTGATCAATCTCCTATCAAAAAGGAGGTTTTATTTTGATCTCTTTGAACTTTGAAAAATAAGTAAAGGCATCATGTTTATTTATCAAATTAAAGAGTTCTGAGCAGCTGGGTTAGACTTTTAAACTAAAAAAACACGTATTTTATTCTTTTTCTTTTCCGAACATCTTGAAAGAAAAAGAATCACAAAATAAAGAAAAGAAAATCCCAAAAAACCCAAAATTGATAGAAGGCAAGATCAAAAAGCCCTAGCTAAGAGTGTACCTCAAAATACAGTGATCAAGAGGAACTGGGCTCGATCGGAGAGAGGGAGGAGGAACTATGGCTCGATGGAGAGAGGAGAACTCGAGAGCTCGAGAGGAGAGAGAGGAACTATGGTTGGAGGATCGCTGCCGCTCGCCGCCGCTCGAGAGGAGAGAGGGAAATCTAGGGCTTTGTTTGAGAGACGAAGGGGGTTGCTGCCTCAACTACGAGTCGATCGATCGCTGGAGAGGGAGAAGTGACGGATATTTTCAATGGCTCTCTCTTCGTCCCTATTTTTTGATTCGTTGGAGCCTTGAACAACGTGAAATATTTATGACAAACCATTCTGCAAAAATTTGAAGAATCTCTCTTAGGGAAGTCTCCCTTTTTTTTCTTTTTCATCCCTATTTTGGAGAATGGGATGGAAAATCTATTGGACAAAAAAAAGCCTAAAATTCTTTAAAAATAAGAATACCAATAAAATGGGAAAGTTGTTGGAGATGCTGCCAGACTGCCACAGCCGTATCTATGTATTACAAGTGCAGCTAGGAAAGGATAAAGACTTGTGACCTAACAATTGTATATGATGAGAATTAGGAAATAAAGCGTGTAACTTGATCGTTAAAAAAAATATTTACAACTAGGAGAGGATAGTAAATTTGGTAGTTTTTGGAGGGTTTAGTTCAAAAACTGTTCGGAAACCGCGTTTTTTGAAGCTGACGTGGCAGCGGGTCCGGTTCATAATCCGTATGGGTTAAAGACTTGTGATCTAATATGATTAATTAATGCAGTTTTAAAGCAATTTCCTTGTTTGACTAGTGATAGTTAGCCTAATTACCTTAAACTAATTTTGCACTGCTGGAAAAATAATGTGAGGCTCTTTTCATGTTAATTGTACTCGAAATTTTGGACTCATCGAAGACTGACCATTTATCTTTTTTTTTTCAAGTACAAAAATAGTGTAGGGCTCATCCTCATATTATCATACTCCTGGTCCTGAATAGCGATTTTCAGGATTATCTTCGCTAGGCACATAATAATAATTTCTAGTTCTACTTTGTATCTTTAAAATCAAATAATAGATATTAATATCCTAATATTTTGTAGCTTCTAAATCTTTGAAAACATTTAAAACTTTATTATTATTATTTCTATCAAATAACATCTAAATCAACTTAAAATTAGGTTTTGAGTGAGATGCAAATTAAAAAATATTATATAACCTTGTAATTTTGTAGACTGCAAAGTGCGAAATTGAGACATCTTAGGTACTACAATACTCTTAAATTATCCAATCAATTGGATTAATCACTATTGGTCTCTCTAAAGTGAATATATATAGTGAAAAACAGATAATTTTTTAATTACAATGGTCTATCTTTTAGTAATTGCTTGTGATTTATTTTGAATAAACCAGAAAGTACATGTGATTTACAAGTATAATAGTTTAACTTAAAATGAACACCAATCCTAGAGTTTAATAAGGGTAAAATTCACAAATCTAGTATGACTTCAGAGGTCTTGTATAAAGCTGTCATTAATTTTTATTGGAGAAAACTATAATGAAAGGTGAATACTATATACGAATATCCTGAACAGTTACAAAGCGTTCTTAACGACAATCGTATCTTGCCCAAAATACTAAAGATGTAACTATTTATTATATCCACAAATCACAAATTCATTATCGTAAAATAAACATTTCTAAGAGAAGAATTGTGTAAAGCGCATGGCTTGTGAAACATTTAGCCTAAATTATCCTACGACATAGTAGTTTAGTGAAAAGGTTATATGATAGATTTTATCTTATAAAACATTTTATGATAGTTTTGTTCAAAACACCACAAGGTGATGATAGTAGTAGCTCAGCGTTCAGATAAAAAAAAATTAAAGAAAAACCAGTCTAACTTGAATTAGTCAGAAGATTCCATGATACTTATCTAAAATGTAAAAAAGAAAAAAAAACTGAAAAACGTGGGAGAAATAATCAAGTAAATATTCCAACAAAATTTAAAATTCGTAACAAGAAAACCATGTAATTATCATGTGGCCCCTAACTTACATTCTTATTTTGATCAGCTCCTCACGCTGTACTTCACTGAATTTGAGCCTCAAGTATTTCCCCTCGTTTTTCATGAGCAAAGGACCCCACCCTTAATAATAATAATAGTAAATATTTCCTCAATTCATTTTCTTCCGCATTCTCTGCTTCCAATTTTTTTGTTATACATCTTTGTTGGGTTTTCTTCCATCATCCCATTTTAATCTTCTCACTGTTACTTCACTCTCTTTTAACCCTCTAATTTTGCATAATATTTCACCAAAACCACTCTCCTGCGTACTCTTTTTCTCTGAATTTTATCTATCAGTTAAGATTCAGCAAATCTTTGCAAGATCTTATATATATATACTAATCCTCTGTGGGTTTTCTCGATTCATTCATTCCTAAAAATATCAGTAACCCCGTAAATTTTCATTTTAAACCCATGAAACCCTTCGAGGCTTTTCCTTTCTGAGTTTAGAAATCAGGGAGCTTGATGGCATCGCTTGGGTCGCTTTGCCTTTTGATCCAAACATCGACCAGCAGCTGTTCTGCTCCTCGACAGAGGAGAACTAGTTGCTGCTGGGAAAGGCGTCACTTTTTCGCGATCTATGGAAGGAGATCTCTTGATCCCAATGGAGTTTTCTGCAAATTGGGTATTTTTGGGGGTCTAAAAAGCGAAATTCTGAAAAGGGGGTTGAGAGCTACTGGGAAAAGAGAAGGCATTGGGGCAGAGGAAGAAAATGGGGGTGATGATGAAGAGAATGTTGCTGATGAATCGTTTCAGGCAACGCTTAAACAAAGCAAGGAGGTTTTAGCAAGGCAAAAGAATCTCATTAGACAGGTGCCTTTCATACTCTCAATTTTCATATAGAGTCAGTATTCTTTTTGGGTCTAGTTGGAAATGAATGATCTTTTTGTCTTCGGTTTGGTATATTTAGAGAAAAATACAATTTGATCCTAATCTATGTGATTATTTGATAAGCATCTAGTTGAGTGCGCTGAAACAATTTACTGTCTAGCCACTGATTACAAACAATGATGCATATGTTAAGAGGGTATAAAAAATGGGTAGTTACCTCGCCTCATTTAGATTTCATTGGATGTTATAGCTGGAAATGAATTCTGTGGTAATTAATAAGTTGATAACCTGCATGGATTAATGCGCTGATTTGCTTCAGCTTGTTTGTGAATTATGATAAAGTCGCCAATCCCTAAAACGAACTATGTAATGTACAATTCCTTCTGAAAGAAAATGTTTCAAGGAATGCTAAATTTTTTGTTACTTGATTATTTTCGGATGATGATAAATCGATATATAAAGTAGGATTCCATTGGAACTGGATATTATTTTGGTCTTCTTAGTGTGCTTGGACAAATACTTACATATAATCTGCAGTTATAAGGTGATCTCTGAAGTATTATCTGCAACAGACATGCAGCTTCGAAGCTTCATTTCATCTAGAATCATTTCCTAGAGTGGTATTTATTTGTAAGTTTCAAATTATTTTCGTCTTTCTGTTTCTATCGTTTTGTGTGTTTTTCTTCATTGGTGTCCAAGTTCCCTGTCTTGTCTGAGTGCCCAACACGGCAAAATTTCACAAAAGTGAAGTGTTCTGGTAATAATAGCCAATGTATTTACCTCAAGAAAGAGGTGTATAAAAGGAATAAATAAATAACTAATAATCGGTAGCTTGTTGGAGTACCTCATGCTAGCTATTATGGGAGTTGAATTCGCTCAACCTGCATATGAGATGTAAGTCTTGGTTTTGTAGAGTGTAGTGAGAGATTAAATGGGATGTTTCAAGCTTTGGGTCATAATCATGAGAACATAAATTTTGCTTTATAATGGAATATGAGATTGGACTTTATTGAATGCAAGGATGTTATGTAGAAGTCAGACCAACCTTATATTGGTTTCAAGACTATTCTCCTAAAGATGATGCATTTCACCTATTTTGGTTCAAAGCAGTCATCTTCCCTTATAATGGAATATGAGTTGTCTTTGTTCTGATCTAAGAACCTCTAATAAAATATGTTATAGAATTTGTGTATAACAAAAATGAATAATCAACTGGCTTCAACAATTCAACTAACAACTTTTTGTTCTGTAAAATGTTTTCTTAACAGCGCTAGCTCGATATCTGAGAAATAATATATCATCATGCATTTAGAATCAATGATAGTGACAAATCATATTTTTGGCACATAAATCATTCAATGTCAACTGTGCAGGTCAGATATGTAATACTTCCAATATGTAATTATGTCTGAGCTATGCTAACATCAACAATTTTTTGTCTTTAATGTTTGTTCTAATTTTTTTGGCGTGTCAAAGTCCTTCCACATATACTGGCTGTAGTCTACAAAATGACTACTGGCTACCACATCATGTTTTCTTTGGTCTGCATAGTGAACAATTGTTATCTGATGCATTAGCTACTATCCATATTTGTGATGCTATTATTATAACACTCGCTGTGGTCTATGCAGTGGAAATTACGAACATCATTGTCACAATTTTGATAATCCTAGTATATGTATTTTTTTCATCATTATGCTGATTGTCTATGGCTCAACAGGTTCAGGTATTAAGGTGGCTATGCAACTTCAATATGTTTCTGACACCCTTTCTTCATATTATGCATGATCAGCAACATGATAATTCTTTTCATCAACTTAAAGCATGGATATTTGAAAGTGATAGCATATATTCAATTTGAAACAAATATAAACATGCATAGAGCAGGATTTTTTGTACACTGCCTATTATCTACTGTATTTCATTTTTAATTAATCTCATTGGATATATCACTCATGATGGTTCATTTATCATATTTTTCGCAGCTAAGGTTAGATCTTAATACATAGTTAACTAGGTTGGAGCCCGATCAACATCATTTCTACAATCTCTGCTGTATAATTGTATTTTTTATTCTATTTTTTTCTCAGAATGCAACTGTTTTGAATTTTCAACCGTTTGGTGCAGATTGAAGAAAGAAGGAAGCTTGTTTCTTCTATAACAAGTAACGCTGTTAACATAGAAATAGATGCAGCTACTAATGAAAGTGGCAGCTATTCTCAAAATACAAAACAATGTTCAACTACTACAGGAGAGCTTGATAAAAAATATAGCATTACTACTGCACCTGAAAAATCTGATCAATTAAGTAAAGTTGAAGTATCAGTAAGACCACCAAGTTCTGATAAAAAATCAGTTTACAGAAGAGAAATTGAGGACGAATCACCAGATGAACACTCTGTGGCTGATGCTCTTGGATTATCCAGAGAAGTTGGTTCAGAAGCAGCCCACTCAGCGATTACATCTCCAAGTTTATCAAGAGCATCTGAACTTTATGTAACCGAGAATCTTGAAGATTTGATAGAACAAAACATTGGTAATGCAAATGCCGAACAAGATGCAACTCCTGGGGAAGGAATAAAGGATTCTCCTCCCTTGGCTGGAGCTAATGTCATGAATGTCATCTTGGTAGCTGCAGAATGTGCTCCTTGGTCAAAAACAGGCAATAACATTTTACAACTTTCTGCAAATTCCAACAGTTGCTATGTTTTGAGGATCATAAATTGCAGTAGCATGTATTACATTCTTCATATAATACTAAGGAACGTTTCTTAGTACTTTCGTTCAATTTAATCATTATTGCACTGTTAATGCTTTGTCATTTATTGATTATTTGTGATTCCGTAGGGGGTCTTGGAGATGTTGCTGGAGCTTTACCGAAGGCTTTGGCTAAGAGAGGACATCGAGTTATGGTATGCATTTATTCCCAGTGATGCAACATGTTCTCACATGGACAGGTGTATGCTTATCATAATTAATCTATAAAGGGATTATTTTGAACACTAGTCTAGGGCATCTCAATTTTCATTTACAAACTCACTACTCTTGTTTTGTTCAAGATCTTAAAATAATATTAGCCAGGAATTAACAAACTTATGAACTACACATAGTAGATTCTTTTAGCAAGTCGTTAACTTTCTTTCTCCTCTTAGGTTGTGGTACCAAGGTATGGCGACTATAGTGAACCTCAAGATCTAGGAGTACGTAAAAGGTACAAGGTTGATGGACAGGTATACACTGGCTCATGGTGACTTTTAACCTACACACTAGTCTTTTCAAGTTTTAACACCTCTATAAACAAAATTTCATATAGGATATGGAGGTATCTTATTTTCACGCATACATTGATGGAGTAGATTTTGTTTTTATTGATAGCCCCATTTTCCGGCATCGTGAGAAAGATATATATGGAGGAAATCGAGTGGTAAAATTTTCTTTCATCTAGCTGCTTTATCCTGTTTAACGTTTGTTTCTGATTTCTCAATATCACTCCATTTTTGAAGTGCAGTTTTGCATTTTCAATGGTCTTCAATTGAAAATTTCTGCAATTTAATATGTAATTTTACATTCAATGCAGGACATTTTAAAAAGGATGGTTTTATTTTGCAAGGCAGCTGTAGAGGTATATTAGAATTCATTACAATTCAATGTTCAAAACATATGATTTACAGTGTACATACGGGGAGGTTACTTGGAACAGTGGCAGATGCATATTATATACATTATTCACTAGTTACCTGAGATTGGTGTCAGTGTGAGACTTCTGAAAATAATTTGTTTTAAAAACTATTACTTGAAGATAGATTACTTATCATGGTTGTCGAATTTGCATTATGCTTATGGACATATGAACTCTATACTTGAAGGTAAATATTTCAGGTTATGGATGTAGAAAACCTTTTCAACATATCTGACAGAGTCCATCATACATCTGCTTTTACCTAATTTCCCTTTTGCCATCCTAGAAGTCAAAAAAGTCAAAGTTACTGCCTAGCAATTATCATTTTCTCAGACGTAGTTGTCGTCCTTACAACTGTTATAGACTTATTTTTTTATTGATTGGATGAATCTAAACCAAACTCAAGCACCCTACCTTCCTAACTTCTGGAGAATAGATATGTAATATGATTTCATTCAATAAGATTGTTTATAAACACGTGTCTTTTCTATTACTATATCACAAAAGTAAATTCCACAAAATATGGGTCCAACATAACATATCACGAACATGCTAGAACCAAGTGAAAAGAAAGCCTATTGATCTCATTAAATATGGGACCGGTAATACATCTCCAGCATAAAATTTAATAGTTTTCTGATGAACAATATATGTTCCCAAAACTGATAATCTATTGTCATTTGTTAATCTCTGGGTTTCTTAAGCATGAACTTTAGTTGATTGATTGATTCAGAATCTAACAGACTGTACTGTCGCTGCTTGCGTGTTAATGTTTAATTGTTAGCACTAGCCTTTGCTTTATATTTTGATTTACTCATCATTTTCTAGTCATTGAGTAACAGGAAACATGTGTATTGTTATTTCTTTTATTTTTATAATTGTTATAATTGTTATTATTGTTATTATCTTCCTTCAAAAGTTAACATAGCTGTTAATTGCTTTAAATGCGGGTATTAACCGATTTCTCAAACATTTTGAAAATCGTACCTCTGCAACTTGTCAGCTGTTCTCCGAAAAATACTAGTTAGATACAGGCTAATTCTTGATCAGCATGTATTGCTAGTAGTGCCTTCGCTTTACTCATTCTCTGGTACTCGAGAAAAAGTGAAAATAAATTTTTTGGTGTTTCTTCTTAATTTTTAGATCATATATTCACAAAAAATGTTGTAGCTTTTAACTTATGACTTTCAAAATACTTGGGCACTCAAACTGTGGGTATAAACAGATGTCCTTAACATTTCATCAACTTTGATCTGAATAATTCTAGTTATCTTTAGGTTCCATGGTATGCTCCATGTGGTGGTGTCTGCTATGGAGATGGGAATCTAGTATTTATTGCAAATGACTGGCACACTGCGCTCTTACCGGTTTATCTGAAGGCATACTATCGAGACAATGGCTTGATGAAGTATACACGATGTGTCCTTGTTATACACAATATAGCACACCAGGTTCTCCCTCAATCTTCTATTGTTCTTGTATACAGCTTATTTAATTTCTGGCACATTTATACTGTTTCCCTTTTATAAATATTCACGTATTAAGTCAGATATTTGTTTTGCCATTTACCAATGACATGAAGTATGTGGACATTGGTAGAGTACATGGAGATCCAGGTTTTATATTTGAGCTTATAGCATGAACAACTTTAATTTTAATACTCATAATTACATTGGACATGCCTGCATCCTACAGTGAAAATTGCCTGACTGGTATGTGAAGTCTGCAGAACTGCTGTAGTAATTTGTTTCTAAGTTATATTTACACAATGTTGTTAAGAAAACTATAAAGTGAAACCTCATTCTATTAATATTCAAGTGTACAGTAAAGCTCATGAGCCAACTAAAACTGCCCCCTCATCTTGCTATAATTTTATCAGATAGATGAGTGACCATAATTTTTTTTTTATTTTTATTTTTGTGAAGTGATTAAACTCAATTGAGTTTCATTCAGGTTTAGGACCATGTAGAAGACGTGGAAAGAAAATGAGATACTTTTTAGTTTAATAAATAAGTTTAACAAATTAAAAAAGCGGAATGGACTTGTGTAGCCCCCCACCCCCAAAAGAAAAATGTTCTGAGTGAAGGCTTTGCTGTCCTTGTCCTTAAAAGATATGTTTTCAGATTCTTTTTACCAAGTTATATAACAGATTACGGATTGGCTTTGGGTAAAACTGCATATGGCTCTGCTCCACAATTTAGTCCGAACAATATCTTAGACAGAGAATTGGAAATCTATATCATACCTTTGAAGTTCCTTTTACTTGTCATTTGAAACCTAAAAAAAGAATGAATAACTCAAATCAATTCCAAAGAAATGATAAAAATTAGGGTTAATTGCGTATAGAGCCCTGTACTATCGCCCAAGTTCTAAAATTCTTTTGTTGCAGCTCTACCCAATACCCATTGAGTGATTTTTGTATTACTCTTTTAACCCCAGAGAAAAAAAATTTGTTTTTCTCCCTTTCCATATTGATATTAATCCTCATCTACTACACAGGGCCGTGGTCCCATCGAGGATTTCCACATCGCTGATCTCCCAGGTCATTACATTGATCTTTTCAAACTCTACGATCCAATGGGAGGCGAACACTTCAACATATTTGCAGCTGGCTTAAAGGCCGCTGATAGAGTCGTCACCGTCAGCCACGGTTATGCATGGGAGCTCAAAACCCAAGAAGGCGGGTGGGGCCTTCACGGAATCATCAACGAGAATGACTGGAAGTTCAAAGGCATTGTCAACGGGGTCGACACTAAAGACTGGAACCCAAGCCTCGATGTGCACTTAAAATCTGATGGCTACGCAAACTACTCTCTCGAAACTCTACACACTGGCAAGTCTCAGTGCAAAGCTGCTCTTCAGAAAGAACTAGGCTTGCCTGTTAGAGACCATGTCCCTATCATTGGTTTCATCGGGAGGCTCGATTATCAAAAAGGCGTCGACTTGATAGCAGAGGCCATGCCTTGGATTGTAGGCCAAGATGTACAATTGATTATGTTAGGTACTGGAAGACAAGATCTCGAAGAAATGCTTAGAAATTTCGAGGGTCACAACCGCGACAAAGTTAGAGGTTGGGTTGGGTTTTCAGTAAAAATGGCGCATAGAATCACTGCAGGTGCCGACGTTTTGCTGATGCCATCGAGGTTTGAGCCTTGTGGGCTTAACCAACTTTACGCGATGATGTATGGGACCGTTCCTGTCGTGCATGCGGTTGGTGGGCTTAGAGATACAGTGCAGCAATTCGATCCTTACAGCGAGAGTGGGCTTGGGTGGACTTTCGATAGGGCGGAGAGTCATAAGCTTATTGATGCGTTAGGGAATTGTTTGAATACTTACTGGAATTATAAGAAAAGTTGGGAGGGGCTTCAGAGGAGAGGGATGATGCAGGATCTCAGTTGGGATAGTGCTGCTCAGCAGTATGAAGAAGTGCTTGTTGCTGCAAAATATCAGTGGTGAAAATGATGTTCCCCACTCTTTTCTTGTTAATGAACTGAATGATATATTCCGTCCTCTTAGTTTCTGGGGGGATTTTTTTTTTTTCCGGTAGTAATTCTGTTTAACCTGTAGCAGATAATTTTTGTTTGATGAACAATAACGATACCAAACACGTACGGCATGGTTCAATCTGAATTTTCCTTGTACATAGAATATAAGTCATCTGGAAAGGAACTTTAGAGATGAATTGTATAAATGAGCTATAGCTCGGGATGAATTTTATCTTTACTTATAAGTAATCATCGGTTTGATCGGGTTCGATGACAAGCTGATTGGATATTGAGTTTTAGCTTAGGGCATCTCCAACGCGGTGGCAAAATGTTGCTGCGTTGAATTGTTCGAGCTCCAACCGTGCCGTATTTTTTGCAGCACTTTGGAGGAGATTGGAGGAGATGAACAGTGCGACACCAAATATGGTGTTGCACTGTTCATCCGCGTTGTTACTATGCATTGTTTTAAAAAATTTTAACTATTTATTTTTTACCTTTTAATTAATATAAAAATAGATAAAAGGGAATAAACTGAGAATATTTTTTTGTGTAAAAAATAGTGCAATGAGTTGGAGATGTATTACTGTTTAATGTGACTTTTGCGCTATTTTAATTTAAAATTTGCATCATTTTGGTGCAATGGGTTAGAGATGATCTTAGAGTTTTTCAGTATATACGATAAAGCATGGAAACGTTTCCATTGTTGTACATTAGATTTGTATGCTGGTAGTATTTGTTTATTTAAATGAGTACAAATGTCTGCGTTTTTTTTCCCCTTTTTACCCCACTACATATTTTACTTCGTTGACATCGAACTGAAGGAAAATACACAATGAAGAAGCTGGGGAGCTATTTAGTGTCTAAAGTACACGGTGCATAAATAAGTCCGTTTCCTTAAAACCTTTGTGAGTTTGTAGAAATCCATCCTTCGCTAGTCAGCTCGCAGCCTCTAAAGGCTCAGAAATATTAGTGGGCTTTATGAATGGGCCTATTTTCCCTAAAAACAACCGTTAATTACACGATTCCTTTATACGCAACCGGCGCAATCTTTTATATATACAACGATTAAAAAAGTAACACATGAACATTCTTTCATGATCAATTAATGCATGCGATGGAAGGAATCCAGTATCATGTTTTGAATCCTTGAAGCTATCTCTTGAAAACGAGCGAATGGGAAATCTCATTAAAGGACGAGGTGGTTTTATCCTAATTAATCCCAGATTACGATCCTAGTGCACAGAAGCCGTACCTTACTCCCGCTCATTAATTTTAAAATTGCGGTGTAACACTGAAAGATCAAATGAAAAATAACGTTGATTATACAATACACTCAATACTTATTTTTGTACTACCAGAAACAAAGTGCGGAGTCAAAAACCATGGGATTGTCCCTCCAAATGAGAACAGAGATAATTCATGTAACCCCTAACAACAAAAAATATCCTCACGGAAGCGCATCAACGACGATATTCCAAATTATTTCTAGACTCCAATTAATGGTCGACTTGCGAGTTTCACAATGCTCGCTATATAACAGTTTAAATCGGTGCAAAATAGAAAAATGGATTCCAATGCAAGCAGAATAGGAATCGGCAGAACAGCCAATTCTAAAACTTGTGATGGTTACGCTTGTAAGCTTCTCCCGCATACTCTCTGCATCTGCAACTCATAGCACCAATAAATCTAATGCTAGAACCTTTTCTTTCCTTGTTTTTAATGCTAGAACTAATGGTAACAGTCCTAACCACAGCAGATATTTAGGTGTGTGTGTCGTGGGGGGGATATTAAAGCGGCTTATTCTGTAATATCCAAATACAATTGAAGACAGAGGAAAAACTGGTGGCCTGGTGAGTAACATACATAAAAATACAAAATACAAAAAATAATGCCACAGAGATCACGGTGCGAAAACAGAGGCAACATGAATAAACGAACATTGTCGGAGAATATTTCAATCTTTCTGAACCTGGGAGAAAAACTATGTGTATGAAGTCCTGCGCTTCTTATCAAACTGGTGACCATGAGGGCTTTTCGATAAGCAATCTTCTACAGCACAAGCTGAAGGTGAAGAATGCAAGCAACCAACCGAGTTACGTCTGTTTATGTCAGTAATAAGCGAATCAGAATCTGAATCCCTACAACCACATTTTTTGGAGACAAGTTTTCTTTTTGATCCAGGAAGTAAGTTCAATCCTGTAGACATACAAAAAATAGAGATAAAGAAGGTAAAGATATGGCTATACTTTCTATTGATGATCGCTCCATATTCAAACTTAAGTTCCAATGAAATTTATTACCACTAAAAGTATTGGCTATGCCCGGTGTTTCCATGTCTCCACAACTGCAAGAGCAGTCACGAGTGCTACAGATGTTCAATTGATTGATTCTGCTGAATGAGAAAAATGTGCAATAATTAGTGCCAAAGGATTCAAAATGAATGAGTAATGACTCATTATGCCTATCAGACAGAAGATAACACAATAATTTAGTAACTGACATTCATGAAATAACTAAGTAATTGACTTTCATCAAGTCATCATATGCATCCAGCATGTGAGCAGTTACTTAAAAGAACTACGCCAGTTCTTATTTCATGTAACTCTATATTAATGTTTCAGCACATAATTCATTTGGAAGTGGAGATGTGGCATTGTTGAAGTTTTAAGGCATAAAAACTATGATGATGTCATGCTTTTGGAATTATTCTATGGATTCTGCATGGCTTTTTATTACAGATGTATTAAGGTTATTTATATTATGTCAATGTAATTAATGTTGTTATGATCACAATCACGATGCATTGCTACAGGATGGATGCTTTACTTTTTCCGACCTAATAAGATCTTTTCCAAATTTTCAATACATGCCTTAGACCAGTGTTTACAACTAATTACAAGAATTATACCTTATATTAAGAGTATACCAGAACCACACTAATTCTGCAGGCTGCCATCCAATCTTCATATTTGAAAATTTGAAAATTTGAAATTCAACTGCTACGATACAACAGTCCCTTCCTACATCAGTTCCCTCTAAGCTTTACTAAATTCAAACTAGGGGATGAGGTATAATATTCTCCTCTTGAAAAAAATAGCTGAAACTATGAGATAAGAAGGCTTATTGAATATTATACCTTCCAATGTGTAAAACAATGTTCATATTTACTTATATGAACAATGTAATTTAGTTAATATTATAAAAAAGAAATATTGTTAATGATGAAAAAGCATCGAATATTATATGTCTCTTGACATATATGCATGTCCATGGTTGTGCATTTATTGGTGTAAATAGCATTTTGCCTTGTCCTGTTACCATATAAGCGTATCCATCATTCAAATATCAGGACATTAGATGTTTATCGGACATTAGAAATCTATCTCCAATACAAAAGCAACAAGAATACCATAAAAGAAACTTCTATTGTAAAAATATTAATGACCGCTAGTGCGAGATTATCTTGAATAACTTTCACCTATCAGAGAACTTTAGAAGTAACTTAGAAAATAACCATTTAAGCAATATTATAGTGAAGAAGACAAACCTGTACATGTACTCTACAAAGTCATCAATAACAACAGGCCAAGCACCTGCAGGAAGAAAATCAGTCAGCAGCCAGCTCCCCAAGAATATAACTAAAAATGTGGAAAACCCAAGAACTGAGGAAAACAAATATTCTTTGCATGTCAAAACAGCAGATAGTTTAATTACCCATTGCATCATAACCTTCAAGATTTTCATTTACACATCGACTAAAAGCCAGGAGTTGTTGCCATGTATCCTCAGATATATTATGCTTTTGGTGTTCCTAGTTTGGTCAAGAAAAGAGGGAAAAGAACAATTAATTATGAGAAGTAACATAAGAACAAACATAACATGTAATGGGTAGTTCCACATGTAGCAGAAGCACTCCTCAGTGAGTATACAAGAGGCACTACACTATGAGGTACAAAAACATAGATATCACTACATTATGCTACCCGAGGAAAGAAAGGTGTAAAGCCTATTTGGTAACCACTGAGAGCGTGAAAATAAATGTAACAGGCATGATGAGCACCATAGTCTAAATCTAGTTAAATAGATCTTACACCTAAGATAATTTTGTTATGTCCCTAGTACCACACTACCAAATCCCACACTGCCAAACAACAGAAAGATTTATTTAGCTAAAATCTTCCATTATGTTGCCACACGCAAAGCTCATGAACATTAGAGCAGAGCAAGGTCTCAGGTAAAATGACACTAACAGCGGATATGTTGCAACAACAGGATCCATAACAATTGCCTCCATAAGAAATGGGCTAATCAATAAGAAAATCTAGTTAATCAAAAACTTAAAAAGACTTCATACAGTCTTACAGGGTCTACAAAAAGGAGTATATAACAATTGAATTCACAACAGAAGCAGATGGCCTTCTAAGATGATTAAATTAAAGAAGTGCATTAATTGAATTAATACCTCAATAAAATTACACCAATGCCTAAGCAACCGAAATCTTCCATTCAAAACTAATTTCCATGCAGAAATTGCCCTGCTTACTGCTGAAAGTTATTTGAGATTACATCAGGACGAGTCAAGTTTACAGAACTCGTATATATAAGTAATAGCTGAAAGTAACTGAAGAAAATATCTTACTGATGTTCTTTTGCCCATTTTCACGACATGCAAGGAAGACAAAATCATAAAAGCAATTAAACTGATGATAACCCCCCTACAAAATATTAAGTAATGTAGAAAACTATCTTTCAAGAACAGCAGTGAAAATAAAAATTAAGAGAACTTGGCAAATAGAGTAAGACAAGAATATTTAAAACACGACTAAAATAGAAAAAAATTAATACCCACAGACAAGTTAAGGCCTGACATGAGTTTGGAAAGATCATCCAAAATATTATCCCTGAAAATACAAGTATAACAAACATAATCAGCATAAGATATTCGGAATATATGGAATCTAATGTAATAACTGCGGAACAATGGAGGCAAGAATGTCCTCGGACTACAAAATCTATGTGTGTCCATACCCACCCCCCACCCCAAACCCCCACCCCCATCCACCGAAAAAAAGCTACTAATCTGAACAGATATATGGGTTACATATAGTCATTAGGTCTTCTGTACTTTTATAAAACATATCCAAGTGCAAATCTTTAACGACTCACATGATTACAACCTCGCTGACAGACCACATATAGAATTGTGTGCTTCTCTATAATAGATAAAATTGCTTCTTCACATGAGGCATATTTCCAACTGATACTATTGAAACCCGTCTAAGCTTCATGGAAGTGAATCACAGTTTAACTTCCACGAGTGTACGTGACCAAGCATCCATGAAGGTTATCACAGTTTGATATCAACAAATAGGATAAAATAAATAAAACAGAGGAATATCCAGAATGTTTTTACATGCATTAAAGATGTAGTAGTGATGTAAAAAGCTTACCATGACCTTCCTCTTGATTCCATTGACTTTGTCAACATATTTAACATCCCCCTTGAACTCACATGGTCACTTCTTGAAATAATGTCTACATAAAATAACATGAAAACTACCTCTGAATAAACTATATCAAAACTAAATTATTCAAATGAAGACACCAAAATAAGAAATCACGTAAACATATATCTGGATAAGCACGATTAACATATTCCAAACTATAAAGCTGAAGTAACTTTGTTAATGATTCTCGCTACTTTCAACAAAAATGCTTGAATAAGATGTGGTTAAATTAGAAATCAAAAGACTAACAAAGACATCAACATTGATGAGCCAATTCACTTTATCTAGAGCAATATGACAGCTATGTCTACGAGTCCAGTAAAGAAGTCACCTATTAAGTTTTAGAATTGCAATTAAATTCAGTTCCAGGGAACCAGGACTAGCATCACAAATATACAACCGACTGTTCCTTATGTCAAGGCACACTTTTTTTGGGCCAACTCCTGAGTAATAACATTGTCTACAAGTTTTCCCAAGGCTTATTAGTTGCACTTTGCTACTAACCAATAACCGGAAGTGGCTGGGCAGATACTAACTAACCAATAACCATGGACCCTAATAAAAGTAGATAGGATGCCTCAGTATCAATATCTGATGGAACAAGATGTAACATGAACCTATATAATGACTCCTGTAGCAATTGATGTACAATCAAAATGGCCAGAAGTGAATAATGAGCCCACTCGAGCTGAGCACCAATACGAGGATGGAAGGGCAACCTTCCCTCCCTCTCTCCGTGTTGGCTTTAAATATTGGAGTATAAATATTACTATTCAAGTTCATTAGTTTGTGCCCGTTTTTCTATTTAAAGTAGTTTCCAATTTTTGGAAAAGCTATTTGATGATCAAAACTAAAAAATATGCAAGATTCTAATATCATTATTCTTAATTTAACATGTCTTTAATTATTTCCACAAACATAAATGTCCTACGGATAACCGTCAAAGATGACCCAAGTGAGTAATGCCAAGTATACCATGATGCCAAAAACCGATCGAACTAAACCTATGTCATTCCAATTGTATACCACTCAAAGTACCATATGTTGCACAATAATATGGTAACACTTTCTTCTAGATTCTGTGCGAAAACAGCTAGACCATTCCCCAAAAATATCACTACATTTGCAATTAATTAGCTACCTTTATATAAAGAACATTTATGCCAGAATACTATTGGCAAGAATACCATTTACACTATGAAGTGTCCTTTATGATGCTGAGTTCTAATGATAAGTGAATGTATCTTCTTCAGAGGAAACAAACACCGATTATACTGACCAAAGTGACCTCTTCTTTTCTTGGCTCATCATATCTTCTCTAATGCACATTTTCATCCTAATCAACTCAAAAAGCTTAAACCTCTAATTTTTCAGTCGAATTTTCTCCGTATCCAAGAAAAGTTTCACGCACTCAATTACATTTCAGCTAGAATTCTCGTCATTACCGATAAAAACAGCATGAATTGAGCAAAAGAAACACAATCTTGATACGAGAAACAAACCAAATAGATTTCTTTATTCAAATTCCCAGCTCATTCCTTGCTGGAAAAAAAATTAAACAAAAAGATCCACCGAGAATCGAAGAACTAACAAAATTAAACAAAAAGATCCACCGAGAATCGAAGAACTAACCGCAGTATGTCCTGTAGAACTCGAAGATATCAAAGCGAACGAACGCCATTGATGAGATGGAGATGGAGATGGAGACGGGATCTAGGGTTCCCTCAAAAGGGTTTTCGGTTAGGAAAAAGGGAAACCCTAGATCGAGTAATTCGAAGGGAATTAAAGAGTTAAAACCTTCTCCTTCTCTTTCATTTTAAAATCTTTTTCGGAGAGATGTCGTTTGGTGAAGGACCAGGGTTGCTCCTCACGTGACGCTAGTATACTATTGAGAGAGAGAGAGAGAGAGAAAGAGAGAGAGAGAGATTTTATCCAATAATTTCCATGAGTCCCCTACACCTCAATAATTACTTCTTAGTCCCTTAAATTCCCTCAACGACCAAACTATCCCTTAACTATGATTTCTTTCTTAAAAAAACTCATTTTGTTCAAAAGGGTTATTTATACTTTGGTATTCTAAAGTTTACAGTTTTTTTTAACTTTAACACCCCAAAGTTTTTCGATTCTTAAATATCCAAAATTTTACACCTTTTTTATTTGATACCTTAAATTTTTTTCAGAACTTTTCAAGTTTATACTCTCTTAACTTTGATACCCAAAGTTTTATTTTTGATACTTTATTACCCTAAACTTTAGGGTATCAAAGTCAAAATGCATAAACTTTGAGTTATTAAAGTTAAAAAATGTGAAATTTTTGTGGTATGAAAGTTAACAAAATGTGCAAAGTTTGGGGCATTGAAGTGTCAAAAAAGAAGTTTGAGTTATCAAAGTTAAAAGGTGTAAACTTTGGGTAATTAAAGTGCTAAAGGCTTTGGATATCAAAGTTTAGAAATGTGTAAATTTTAGAGTCACAATTTGCAGATAACCATCCAAAACCATTAGTCGAGGGTGTTTTAGTCATCAAGGGGCCGAACTGCAACAATCCCAGGTAGTGGCGGAGCCAGAAATTTCGACAAGGGGGTCCAAAAAGAGGTTAAACCCTCACCTATGAGAATAGAAGATATTCAACATCTTTTAAGAAACATTAATGTCTCAAGGACCCAAATAGGGGACTCAAGACATGGGACATGTGAGGTGTCATCATCCGATTGCATGATGCACTGTTCATGAACAATGCATCATGCAACCGGATGGTGACACCTCACCCGTCCCAAGAACAGTGTCTCATGCAACCGGAGGGTGACACATCACATGTCTCATGCCTTAGGTCCCCTATTTGGGTCCTTATAGCAATACCCTTTAAGAAATTATTCCATAATTGAGTCACTATGTTAGTCCCTTAAATCTTTCATATTTTGACATTAGTCCCTCAAATCATGAAAATTGCTATTAGGTCCCTCAATATTTGGCTTATTTTTAGATTATTCCCTTCACTCAAGAATATAAATAGCAATTGGAAAGATTAAATTTGAAAAAAAAATAATGAGAATTGGAGGAGCTAATAGTCCACAACAATAAATTTTACTTGTAATTCCTCCAATCACTACTTCTACTCTTGATTGAAGGGATTAATTTCAAAATAAGTTAAGAATTGAGGAATCTGGTAGGAATATTTGAGGGGATAATTTCAAAATAACCTAATAATTGAGGGTCGTAACAGCAATGTCCATGATTTGAGGGTTAGATTTCAATAGAAGGGACTAATGAGCGATTTCATGGATTTGAGGGACTAATATGTAATAATTAAATATTCTGGGGACTAATATCTAAATAAAATTTGCAATGAAATTATTGCAAATATGTTAAGTTTGGACCCTTTTCTCATATTTATGTTTCATAGAAAAAATAGAATTCAATCAATAATGAAACCTGCTAAGAAATTTAAGTATGATTCATGACATGGTTATTTTCCATCAATGATGCAGCTTCACTGACGGATACCGGATACACCACGGATGAAAAATTGTAGACTGAGATAACAAATTTCTGTTTTCGATGTTCATTGGAGACAGAAAAAAAGATGTTTGTAGAAGGATTTTTACATCTATGCCTGGTTTTCTACTCTCATGTCACATTTAGGTGCTATTTGGCAAGAGTTCAAAGGAGAAGGGTTAAAGTAAAAGTCTAATCTAGTCGATCTTTTACGAGAGGTTAAAAATAAATTAATTCTATTTGATAATCAAGATGAAGGATTAAGTTTTTGTGTTTGGCAAATAAAGAACAGTTAAGGAGGTTAGTTGCCATAAATATAAAGTATATTCTCTTTTAAAGTTTCATTTCTTATTTTCAGATGGAATAGCTCTTAATCCTCCTCTTTAGACGAATTTGTTTACCCCTCTAAATGAGGGGTTAAGTAACATTAACCCTTGTGGAACGGTTTGCTAGTCATTTGATCAAATTAATCCATTTAGATGGCTAAGAAGGGGTTAAACTTCCTTAGCCATTCTCTTAGCCCAATGCCAAATGGGTAGGAGTCAAATTTCCAAGTACAACTTAAAAAAGTTGCTTTAACAAAATAAGATTTTCCTTTATTAATTAGTGCTTTAATACTTAGTAAGTAGTTTATTATAGATATAAACATCAAGATTTCAGAAGCAAAGCATACAAGGTCGAGAGTATCCTGAAGCGTTTCAGAGCCCCTACAACACAAAAGTGACCAAGTAATTAAAGAATAACAAGAAGAATATTTGCTAATTAGTCTCTCCATAACAAAGTAGGTTAAGAGATGATTACTTGATAAACGAATAGCACTGCAGTAATGAGGTAATGACGTGAAATAACAAATAAAGCCGAAAGAATCACCAGTCCATTGAAATTAGCCCCATAAGAATTGGCACATCCTCATTATCTCAGTAGAGCTCAAAAGTTTAGGGGGAAAACATGCAAATGCGTTAATGGACATCGACCAATACTTGTCCACCTCCTCCTTATTTTAACAGTGCAATATTCAATATATACGGATGATAACCAAGGAGATTTAACGCTAAATGGTGGTTACGTGCCATGATAATGTCATTAAAATGTAGAGTATTATTAATCAGAGAAAGTGGGGAGGATAATTGTCGTTGTAAGTAGTAGAGTATGACTCAATAAAAAAAGGAAAACATAACATAATAAATAATCCTAAAAATTGTTCTTCATTACGTAGGCATAGAAAATGTACTGTCTCTTCTCAATTCTCTTTTTTTTAATTACAGAAAATGTACCTTTTCTATTTTCTAATTTTTATAGTTCTGAGCTAACCCTGCTGGAGACTTAGGGGCTGTTTGATTCATTTTCTAGAAACTTAAGTTTGGGAGATTACTCATAGGTTGTGGGATCCATTTCTATGTTTTCAAGCCCATTTCATGATTTTCTAGAAGGAAATGAGTTTCTTTAAATTTGGGACCCGTGACACTATTATCTTACTAGTAGGTGAGTCTCACGTGCACAAGATCTCTTTTTTTCCTCTCTCAACCAAACTCAAGAAAAGGAAATCAAACACCTTCACATGGGTGTGTCGGATATTTTGATTTTTTTTTCCTTAATTTCTCAACCAACTAAACAGCCCCTTACACGAACGTGAGCATCTCTGTACTAGGAGATAAACCCGGGCTTGTGTTGTCCCCCAAGATCTTATCAAATCAAGAATAAAGAGTTGAAAAAGTACATAATCATCAATTTGGGCAAGATCTTATCAAATCAAAAATAAAGAGTTAAAAAAGGACATAATCATCATTTTTTGTGCAACTAGTTAATTGATTAGAGTTAATCAAGTTGTTGTGGCTTTTGGAGTTGAGGGTGCACACCACTTGACAAATGCCAGCGTTTATGGCAGACACCTATCTTGATGTGCCAACAGGACCATGCAATAACTTAGGCTAAGGATTCTGTGGCAAAAATGAGTCGTACTCCTCCTCTGTTTTCTTGGGTGATTTTTTTTTTTTTTGGAAAATTTGTTGGAAACTTTTTTGTTTGGATTTGTCTCCTTTCACAAGGATTTATGAGAGAGAAGTGAAATGTGGATCTCATGTCTGAATTTGTATCCAAAAATTTGGAAAATTGTAGATTTTAAGGAATTATGATGTTATCAGAATTCTAGAACTCTGTTTTTACATACGAACCCCTCTAGTTAGTCATTAATATTTTCTTTTACTTAAACATGTTATAATTTGCCTCAAATAGTCAATTATGCACTAACCCGGGTCAAACTCAGCACCCGTAGGCTCGGACGTGTTGACTGAGACTCTGAGGGCGTCTCCAACCGGGCGTCAAAAACCCCGCTATCTTAGTGGGATGCTACACTGTTACGTCAGGAATGACACAACACTGTAGGAATGGTGTTGGCGCTATTTAGTTTTTTTTTTATTTTGTTTTTTATATTTGTATTAATAATATATATTATTTTATATTAACTATTATAATAAAATTAGAGTATAAAATAATTATTAAAATAAAATTCAAAAAGGAAAAAATAGATAATTTAATCCAAACTTTTCGATTTTTAAAATACTAGAACCAAATGAAGAAATAAGAAAAACTTACATTTAGATAAAAAAATACAACATAAAAATTAGGACATAAAAAAATTACACATAAATTAGGACATAAAAATTAACACTAATTGCAATACATTAAAATTAAAGAAAAATAGAACCTTGAAAGTAATATTTTAATTTGATTTAGCATTATTTTTATGTTTTTATTTTATTCATAAAATATATTATTGTAATTAATTAAATGTAATGTATTATATAATTATATAATTTGTTAAATACTTTAAATAGATAAAAATGTTAAAAGATAAGAATAATAAAAGGAATATTCTTTTTGATGTAAAATTTGGTGTAATGGATTGGAGATGGAATAGTGATTTGATGTAAAAACTACACCAACTTGGTGTAAAAACTACACCATTTTGAGTTTTTAGGTTGGAGATGCTATGAGAGAACTAGTATCCTTTGATAAAATATGCTTCTGTTGGAGTTCTATTGGGTATGAATAGTATAAAGATGATAAGTAGTTGAAATTCAAATTGGATGGGATCTCCAATTTGTGATAGAGTTTGTTGCTCACAGTAATAAGTAAGCCTTACCTTTACATATTATTATGAAGCTCATTTTTTGTGCCATTAATCCACCAGAGAGCGTCGGCAGCAACCATCAATTAGAGCATCTCCAACAGCTTTCCTAAAATTTTCTCCAAAATAGAGAAACAAAAGTCATATTCTCTAAATTATTTTTGCTCCAACTCCAACAACTTCCCCATTTTGAAAAATCGCATTTATTACAATAATAAAGCTCTCCCCAAAAATTTGG